CCAAATGGAGAGCTTGAAGGGCCCGAAGGGCTGGCCGCAGGTCGTGTTAAGGACTGCGGCCCGTAAGGTCGAGCCCTCAGATGCCATTCAGAGGCTTCGTGCACCGATTTAGGACCTCTTGCGATGATGCAGGTCTCTATACGACGGCGCGCTTGACGCGGCCGAAAAGCAGACGGACTGTTCATTAACTGTTGAGATATATACCAATACGCAGGGAGGCCCTGCACACGCGGCACCTCTGTTTCATATTTCGTGGTCGCTGGTATCATGGACAGCTAGCGTTTCTGACGCGCAAGAGTCATTTATGTTGCAGATATTTGGCATTCGTGTTGTCTTCGGGTTGTTCCTCATCTGTTGTCAGGTACGTTAACAGTCCTCATGTTGCTGCGGAGGTGTTTTGCTGTTGCACCTAGAACACACTGCAAGATTCAAGATTGTGTGAGAACAGACAATAGTGGTATCCGAAAGGGACGCTTAGTCCAGTCAGCGAAGATCTATCCGCTGCTTGCTGGACACCTATGATGTGAATAATAATTAGATAGTTTGTTTTCGCGCCGCCAGGTTGGTACATTTTTGCACACACAGGTATATCAGCGCGCCACACATACACTCACACAAACAGAGCGAGATGGCAGGCAAGGCACCCAGCTAGGCACACCTATGTATCAGGAGTGTGCTGAACTCCCAGCTTGTGTGTGCAGCAACTCACCCCAGGCAGAATTGTGCCAAATTTTTAATTGATTTAATATAAGAAATGCTTATAAAACATTGTTGCTTAAAGTCATGGCTACCATAATTCTAGAATCATTGGCACTCTATGCACTGTAATTCAGGTTTACAAGTCTGGCATCGATTGCCCTGGCTGTTGAGGTGACATGTTTGGTGCGTGAAATATTCCAGATCAAATCTATGCTGATCTGAAATAGAATTATTAATGGTTTTATATGAATTTTTTATTCTTTGCCTGTCAGAATGCTGAGGGTGAAGGAATGGCAGGTCATCACAAATCAGTAAAGGAAGCAAAATCTGGCTGGTCTATGGGTCCTATGCCATAATGCACTACCAATGCATTAGTAGCAGCTGGCTATCAGCAGGCTGGTCTATGTCTTGTACTAGTATGAAATCAGATCGCTTGCCAAGCTGCATGTAAGTTACTGGGTATAAGAGGCTATGTCCTTTATCTAACCCATGCTGTGTTCCTGCAGATCATGGATGGCCCTATCCTAGTGCCCTGTCTTATCTGCAAGAACCAGCTCATCAATCCCAAGAATGTTTTCAAGGAGCGCACACAATTCACCAGGACTTTGTTTGTCACCAGGCTGTCACGTATTGTTCACAGGAAATTGGAAAGTAATTCAGTAAGTTATGTAGGGCATGCATGCATGGTTTTACACCTTAGCTACTCATGTTCAAGCACCATTCAGAATGTTTTAAGTGTCAGAAACAACATTTGTTAAAATTGCATGCATTGTGACTAGCATAGGCAGTGTGTGGACTTCTTCAATGAGATCATATCCTGCCTGATTTTGGACCATACATCTCTGACAGTTCAGTTAAGATTTATACCTGTAATCCACAAATCACACTTCACCCAATATTCATATGACTGAGCATTGTGTGAGCCTGGACATTAAATCATTATATTGTATTGCACATACATTAAAAATTGAACCATTGTGTTGCATTACACAATGACAAATTACATTGTATTACATTGTATTGTATGTTGCATTGCTTGTTGTATCACCTTATATTGTACATTGCATTGTTCATTGTATTACATTATGTTATGCATTGTACTGCTTTGTATTGTACATTGTATTGTTCATTGTATTACATGGTTTTATGCATTATGTCACTTTGTATTGTACATTGCATTACACTGTATTGTATATTGTTGTAGATGCACATGTGGTGCACATGCATGGTTTTTTAACCAATGATCATGCCACATTGCATGGTAATTTTTACTATGCAGTGAAAAACAACCTTTTTTGCCAGGTGCAGCAGGTGGACATTTGCAGCACCTGCCAATCTCTCCTGAACCTTATTGATGAACATGAGAGTAAACTGCTTGCCTATGAGAATGAGGTGAGTATGAGAAAGGCATAGAAGCAGGGACCTGGCCTCTATGGGGTGAAAACTGGCTGTAAAATCACAACACTGAAATAAAAAGAAATGAATGATAAATCACAGATTAACAACCTGCAATCTCATAACTGGTTAGAGCTATGCAAATTCCTCGTGGGTCTTGAGCCGCATCATCGTCATATGTGGGGAGCGGAAATCGTGGATTGATGCAGAGGGTGACACCAACAATATGGACCCTTTGAACATTGACTAGAAAGAGATAGTCTGAGTGGCTATCATCCCTTTGTCCTCCCAGCGCTCGTCGCTCCATGCCGGCGGAAAATATTGTCGCCGTTTGGTGGCTTCTTCTCAGCGCAATGCATGCGTTCATCTAGACCATTCGGTCATATAATGTATCAGTGCATAAGTGTGTGTATATACAGTGACACCAGTTTCGAAGGTTGATATTTCATGTATTTTACTCCATAGCTACATCATGGGTTGTCCGCCGGGTACCAATTTTTTTCTTCGCTTTTGGAAAATGATGACAGTAAATCCGGCCATTTATTACGGTGTGGATAAAGCATCCCAAGACATAGTGCTTGAGGATCGCAGAGTTCACCTGCTCCTTCCAGGTTTGCAACACCACCGTCTATGGCGCGGTACTTAGCACAGCCAAGCGTTCTCTGATTTGATGCGTTTAGACTGACAAATGATTGCGACATGAACTGGATCCATTTGATCCGGGCGAAGACGAGGCGTAACACACTGCTACTGCGATGACCCTCCTCTGCGTCAGCACTAAGCAAAGCAAGTTTTCACTCCTGTCTCACCCTGAGACTGCGTAATTCGGACTGAGACTGCGTAATTCGGACTCGGACTGAGACTGCGTCCAGGTTTGGCTGAAATGGCGGGCAGGGTCATGAGAAGACGATCAAGATTGACGACTTTAGGGTTGTTCTCCCGCGTGTTGTGCCGCACATTGCGGAGAACGGTCAGGGGGAGAGATGCAAATATAGCCACCTGAGGAGCCATATTTTCCCCCTTGGTAAATGAGAGGGGCGGTTTCCATTTGCCCCTCTGGTGGCGCTGCCCCTGGGCGTCTCTGTAGGGTTGGCATAGGTAGCTTCTGCGCAACCTGGAATAAGAATGTTACGAACTTGAAAAGAAGGAAGATATGAATAAGATCGGGTCTCTTCAGCTCACATGACTGGCGTATTACAACGTTATGGACCTAAAACAAAGCGCATTTTAAGTTGCATGCTCATATGTGTAGCACGCGTTAAAAGCCCGTGCCCGGCCGGTGCGGATCATTTGTGAACATTGAAAGATATTCCGACGCGCTTTGAAAATAAATTACGCAATGACAGCGAAATCGTCAGTGCCGCCTCTTCGGCCCCGTAGCCAAAATCTTCCTCACGGGCCAAATGTCAAAATTCCTCCGAAATTATGCGAACTTGGACCCAATTTCTGCGAAATCACCAAGTACCTACTGTAAAAGTGGTGGCTCAGGGGCTATGTTCCCCATTGGCCCACCTTTTGGCACGTCAGGGAATTTCCTGGAATACTTGATGAATTTTATCGGGTAGGTAATGGGCAAATAAAATATTATTTACTGGCGCTTTCATGCTAGGCACCTGTGTACCAGATGTTTCAAGGCCCGCAATAAACAGAACAGACACAAATGGCAGGGCCGTGTATGTTTACGTTCGAAACGTTCTGTAAACGCGAGGCGGTGGAAGTGGTCATACCACGTGATGGTCATTGGCGGAGAACGTACGAAAGTGGCAGTTGTACCTGATAATTTTAGGATTTTACATGGTAGCACGTGCAAGGCAATTCGATATTAGCTGCCACTTTATCCTTTAAGAAATTTGTGATGTCCATTGGCTGCAACCACATGATGATCCAAAATCGCAGGCGTTTTTGGAGGCGGTCAAACGAAGTGCGCCGGCGATGGAAACTAAGCGCATACTCACCTTAAGTAACAGTGATTATGTTATTTAGCGCGGTAGAAACTCGCATGCCGTGTGGGCGTGCGGTGAAGGAAAATGGTGAATCCAGCAACCGTACGTCGCACGAACGCACCGTCCAGCCATAGTGGTGCGGTGCCTCGTTTCAATGACCTGCGCCACGGCGCTGAGTTGCGATGCACGTTTTCGACTGAACGCGTGCATTTGATTTTGCCTTAAACCTTTGAGTTCCGGTCGACGCGTTAAGTGTCGTATCGTGCATGGGTTCACCACGCCATCGCGTCTCTTCTTCACAGCCGACTCCGGGTTTTGTCATGACCGAACTGGTAGATAACATGGTGGACGAAATTGAACGATTTTGTCTGGAGGCTGGACACTTCCGTCGTGTTGAGAAGCCTTGGCAGCGGGCGGCTGGCGCTGGCAGTCGCCGGTGCGGTGGCATTGACTGACAGGGTATTGTGTCAGGGAATCGTACCAGGAAAGCCGGAACCTCTTCTGCGCGGTGCGATTGCCTCGCTGATCAGTTCATGGCCGGACGCCTCTGCCGTGGCTTGAGCCGCGGACTTTAGCCTGAGCAGTGGAGAGCGGCTTGAGCCGTGGACTTTTACCTGAGCCGTGGAGAGCGGCCTGAGCCGTGGAGACTTGCCTGAGCCGTGGAGAGCGGCCTGAGCCATGGAGACTTGCCTGAGCCGTGGGGACTTGCCTGAGCCGTGGACACTTGCCTGAGCCGTGGAGAGCGTCCTGAGCCGTGGAGACTTGCCTGGGCTGTGGAGAGCGGCCTGAGCCGTGGCCACTTGCCTGAGCCGTGGAGAGCGTTCTGAGCCGTGGAGACTTGCCTGAGCCGTGGAGACTTGCCTGAGCCGTAGAGACTTGCCTGAGCCGCAGAGCCTTGCCTGAACCGTGGAGAGCGGCCTGAGCCGTGGACACTTGCGTGAGCTGTGGAGAGCGGCCTGAGCCATGGAGAGCTGCCTGAGCCGTGGAGAGCGGCTTGAATCGCTCGCAGCCGCCCAGGACATGAGTGACGGAGTACTGAAGCGAGCCTCGAGACAGTACAGGACTGGCGACTGCGCATGCCACAGTCCAAAACCGCGGCGAACGAGCCAGGTCACAGTCCAGCTCTAGAGCCCCTTCGTCGTGCAGTGATCGACCGACGAGTCTTACCTGCCTGGGACGGTTGAGTGCTTTGCGCCTAGCCAAAGACGCGGAGCGCCAGTCGGTACTCCGGATCAAGCACGCATGGCATGACATTGAGCACGCGTGACATGGACCTGGAACATTCGTTGCTGTGGCGGTTGTTTTCTGTCCGCTGTGATTATTTTTATTGTAAGTCTTGTTAGTTATTGTGTTTTAGGGGGGAGGGGGTCAACTGCCTTCGCTATTTGCGCCCATTTCTTGACGTGGTTGTGTGTCATGGCGGCCCAATACAAATGTAGAACGTGCCTCTGGGCGGGTCAGCTTGGGTCAGCGTGTCGCATGACCACCCCGCTCCTTGTACAGTCAGCACTACGACTGCGTGTGCCGTGCCGCAGGTTCGCCTCAAGTTCAAGCTGCCCTTCCCAATCATCCTGGAGGACAAGAATGAGGTGGCCCCGCCCCCGTTCGACGGACAGCCAATCGCCGAGCCGCAGATGGGTGAACCAGCCAATGACGGCGATTTGGAGGCGGGGCCTGGTGATGTGATCGTGTCAGCCGACGACACGGGATTGGTCACGGTGACGTACGGCCAGGCTGACGGCGAATCGGCAGGTGCGGCTCGGAACCCAGGTCGGGGATTGGCTCTTAAGAGAAGACCCGCTCCCGGGGATTGGTACTCGCGTGCCAGGGATTGGGCCATCAGACGCTCCCTGCACCGGTGTTGGGATACAAGCGAAAACGCCTCGGGCGGATTGTGTCGCGCTCAACGTTCACGGGCAGAGATCATCCGCATGGAAGAGCCTGGGTCTCAGACACCTGGGTTGAGCATTGAAGCCCACGTTTTACCCAGGGGTTTCAGTGGGTCGGCTGCGTGTCTGAGCGAGATCTGGCTAGGGCCAGACTAGATGCCTCACATGTCACAAATGAGAGATCGCGTCCCTCTCCGACTGAAAATGTGGTATGGATTATTTCAATGCGCATGCAGTTAACATTTAAACCCCCACGTAGGCTTCATCAAAGATGTGGTCATTCAAATAGAAAAAAAGACGCAAGGAAACGTGTTCATCACGATATCCCGATCTTGGTAGTGTGGTCATTGTAGGACACGCACGTGTTGCAAAATGGTCCCAGTTTTGTCACGATATTCATATGTTTGTGTGGGAGATACCGACACGACTCCCAATATATTCAGCGTCTGCCCTTTTATATTGCCCTTTTCCTCCCCCCCCCCCCCCCCACACACACCCCACTGGGCTTCTTATACGGCTGTTGTTCTGAGTGGATTCTCAGAAGATATCGCCATCAATGAGCTGTCAGCGTTTACATGCGTGTATGTATTTTCCCGGTCCCAATGTTCGGTATCGGTGCTTACGTGTCCGTTTCCCCCGCCTGTCTCTGTATGCCCCGCCCCCCCCCCCCCCCTCCCGGTGAAGTCTCAAAGTGTCCATCTGTGCCCCCCCCCTTGGCACTAGACGACCTCCAGTACCAAATGACCCCTAACCTCCGGACGCCACCTCTGCCCCGGCCCCGTGTGAGGTCTCAGTATGTTCGTCTCTGCCCCCCGGCACCAGATGACCCCTGACCTCCGGACGCCACCTCTGCCCCGGCCCCGTGTGAGGTCTCAGTATGTTCGTCTCTGCCCCCCGGCACCAGATGACCCCCGGCCTCCGGGCGCCACCTCTGCCCCGGCCCCGTGTGAGGTCTCAGTATGTTCGTCTCTGCCCCCCGGCACCAGATGACCCCCGGCCTCCGGGCGCCACCTCTGCCCCGGCCCCGTGTGAGGTCTCAGTATGTTCGTCTCTGCCCCCCGGCACCAAATGACCCCTGACCTCCGGACGCCACCTCTGCCCCGGCCCCGTGTGAGGTCTCAGTATGTACGTCTCTGCCCCCCGGCACCAGATGACCCCTGACCTCCGGACGCCACCTCTGCCCCGGCCCCGTGTGAGGTCTCAGTATGTCCGTCTCTGCCCCCCGGCACCAGATGACCCCCGGCCTCCGGGCGCCACCTCTGCCCCGGCCCCGTGTGAGGTCTCAGTATGTTCGTCTCTGCCCCCCGGCACCAGATGACCCCCGGCCTCCGGGCGCCACCTCTGCCCCGGCCCCGTGTGAGGTCTCAGTATGTTCGTCTCTGCCCCCCGGCACCAAATGACCCCTGACCTCCGGACGCCACCTCTGCCCCGGCCCCGTGTGAGGTCTCAGTATGTTCGTCTCTGCCCCCCGGCACCAGATGACCCCCGGCCTCCGGGCGCCACCTCTGCCCCGGCCCCGTGTGAGGTCTCAGTATGTTCGTCTCTGCCCCCCGGCACCAGATGACCCCCGGCCTCCGGGCGCCACCTCCCCGGCCGTCATCTGGGACGGAGACTCCGACCAGCAGATCATCATATTCAAGGTAACCGATGACCGCCTGAGCAGAGGACATTTAAAGGTCAGTTGAATGACCAATTGTCTCTTACTTTGGTTCGACGCCTCATCTGCTTGAACAACCTGAAGACGTTGTAGGTCAGGCCGAGATCTGTATGACACCTGGGTCGCGTTTCTCATTGGCAAAGCACGTACTTGAGTGAATACCTTTGACGTCACAGGTGCCTACGTCATACACCAGAGACTGTACTCAAAGTCGTGGGATCTGTGATGGCGCTCGTACCTATGACGTCATAGGTTGCAGCTTGTGAACGGCGTTCGGCAATGGGGAACGCGGCCCGGGTTTGTTGGAAAAGCTCATTTAAGTTAAATCCGCTGGCGGTCACTGACCATTCCGACCATCGCACGCATGGGGTCTTCTGCGGCAGGGTGTCTTTGCCGACAGCCATTCTGACCTGCCACGACCTCTCACCTGTGGCAGGAGGGGGAGGCACCTGTGGTCAGCGTGCTGGGGGACCTGGTGCCGCCGGTGCCGCCTTCGGTGCTGGCCGAGTCAGAGGTAACAAAGCAGGGCTACCATTGGGGCATGGAGACAGTCGGAAATGCGTTTGGTTAAGCCAGTTCGTGTGTTGGTCCAATGACTCAAGTCGGTTATAAGGCTCATCGTGTGACGGTCTATGAACGCAAAATGATCACTGCAGTCGGGGCGCCCTAAAGCACCAATGAACAACAGAAGTGTGTGACGGCTGTTCTGTTTGTCGATATAGTACGAGAACGTGTCACAATCTGACCTGACTTGACAAACAACCTGACCGTCGGCAGCCGCCCGAGGCCGCCAACGAGCCGGCCGGCCGGACGGCCGGCCCTTCCGACCAGCAGCCGCCGACCGAAGAGCGCCTCTTCTACTGCGACGTCTGCGACGCGTCCTTCACTTCCACCGACGGCCTGGCCGGTGGGTCCTGTTGCCGGGCGCGCCGGGTTCGCGCGCTTGGTTCGCAGTCGGCGCGGCCAGGGGCGTGTGTGGTGTTCACTGTAGCTGTCGTGGTCGACGGCCAACAGGAGGAAAGGCTAGCAGAGGGACGGGGAAGAGGCTCGAAGGGAGTGAAGGGATGGCGCGGGATCTCCACCCAGGCTGAGCGCCGTCGCGCGGCGTCGGCGTCGCGGCTGAACCGGCGCACCTGCCGTGTTGTGGTTCGCTCGCCGTTGTAAGAGGCGTGGCTGAGTGGGCGGGAGGGCCACTCTACGCCCACGTGACCTTGCAGGCCTTTCCGCGCTCAGTGCTATCGTGCTGTGGGTGCGAGATATGGTCAGGATTGTCCCCCGCCCCCCCGCCAGTGCAGCGTCCCGCCTGTACTCATGGGTCAGTCTCTGTCCTGGTCCTGTGACAGATTGTCTGTGATGATTGAGATTGACTGTGGTGATTGCGATTGAACGTACTCTCATGAGCATCGCACAACGCACAGTCCATGCCGTATGTGGCGCAGCGACCAAACTTGTCAACCAGTCTCTGACCTGTCACGACCTCCATGTTTTTTTTCTAACCATGCCCCTGCTGGCCTTTGCGACCCCCACTGACCTCCGCTCCCCGCTGACCCCCGCTGATCTTCGCTCCCTGCTTGCCCCCGCTGACCACCGCCCCCCGCTGACCCCCGCGGACCTCTGTTCCCCGCTGGGCCTCGCTGACCCCGCTGACCTCTGCTCCCTGCTGACGCTCGCTGACCTTCGCTCCCCACCAACCCCCGCTGACCTCCCCCCTGCGGTGGCAGCGCACCGGCAGGGCCACGACCGGCTGCGGTTCCGCTGCGCCTTCTGCCCGGAGCGCTGCGCCACGACGGTGGCGCTCAGTCGGCACATGAACGAGGCGCACGCGGCCCGGCTGCTGCCCTGCACCAGCTGCGAGAAGCGCTTCGCGTCACGCGCCGGCCTGGCGCAGCACGCCAAGCAGCACGAGGCGCGCCAGCACGGCTGCACGCAGTGTCCGCGCAGGTGAGGGTGGGCGGGGTGGACGGAGTCATGACGGTGCGTGGTGTCGCCACCAACGGTCCGCAGCGACGAACGGGAGTGGATGGAGCTGGGCGCGGTCCACCTCTCTGTGGCGGTGCATGCCCTGCTTCTCGCGCCGTTCCGGCGCCGGTGAAGTGACCCGCGGGCGACGGCCGATCGTTCCCCGGCTTAGGCGCGCCCGGCGACGTGTTCGGCGGGAGCGCGGAGTTCGGGTTCGAATCCCGAGTGTGGCGGAAATTTCACTCGGCCTGCCCTAGCGGCTGGCGTGGGAGTGTGGTGCGCTGGGGTGCTGATGGTTTAGCGTTCACGCAAGTATGTGTCTATAGAGATGCAACGTTGATTATGTGATCTTTTATCAAGGTAATCTGTCCCCCATGCTTCGCGATATACTCACCTCAATAGCACCCTAAAGTTGCCATATAGAATGTGACCAGAGGAGAGGTTAAAATGGGAGGAGAGAGCAAACTTGCCGCAATTGTCGACGCGCCCTACCACACCAATCGTCTTCATTATCATTATCATGCTTGGTGCCCGCCCTTCCTGCCAGGGTGAGAGGCAGGCGACGCCATATAGCCTCAGCAGCTGAGTGTGTCGTAAAGCCTTAATGACACCCACACCCACACATTATCGTGCTTGGACATGAGAACCAGTATTTTCGTTTGTCGTACGTTTGTGGATACTAAGCATGCTTTTTGGCCAGTGCGTAACCCGTGTCACCTGCACTCGACCCCGGTACGCCGGCCGATTTCGTGAGCGCCGTCCGCCTGACCTGACCTGACTGCTGACCTGAACCGGCCTCTGACCTGGCCGGACCCTGACCTGATCCGATTCATGACCCGACCCGACCCAACCCAACCCGTGGCCGGACCCCCAACACCTGACCTGACCCCTGATCCGACCCCTGACCTGACCTCTGATCTGACCCCTGACTTGATCCCTGACCTGGCAGCTGACCTGACCCGTGATCTGACCCAAACCCTGGCCTGACCCCTCACCCTACATGACCCGGGACCGATCCCTAGTCTGACCCGATCTGACCTGGCCAGCCTGATCCGACCTGATCTGACTTGACCTGACGACAGGTTCGTCAGCCTGCACGACCTTCAGCTGCACGTGACGTTTAAGCACAGCGACGCGCGGCCCTTCAGCTGCGAGGTGTGCCGACGCACCTTCAAGACGGCCTCAATGGTGCGCCGCCACAAGCTACGTCACACGGGGCTCAAGCCACACCGCTGCGCCCTCTGCGGTGAGCGCTCCGCCGCCGCCGCCGCCGCCGCCGGTCCGCTATCTGGAGGACGCCGGTGGCGTCGGGCGCAGCGGCGCCGCTGAGCGGAAGACGGAAGTGGGGATGTGTGAGATAACGAGCGCCGGGTGGCGCGCGGTTTGTGCTTTTGAGAGTGTTGCGAGCTCACGCCACGTCGTTGGTGTGTCGCGGTCGGGGTTTCGTCGCGCGCAGGCTTGGTGGGCGGAGGTCTGGCGGGTGTGTGCCCCTGGTCAGTGAGAGCGGTCTCCCCGCTGCGCTTCGGGAGATCGCTCTCACCAAGCGTCGATGTCAGCGGGACTCGCTGCCCCCGCCATTCGAGGGGGGGGGGGGGGGACAGCGAGACGAAGCCGTATTCGAGGCTTCGGGGACAGTGACCGCACTGTCCGACAAATGCTTCAGTCTGGTTGTCAGGCACCGGCCAAAGACGTCGGCATAGCTATATCTGACCTTGCAGCAAACGGGCTGACCCATGCGTGCCCTGCCGCACCTCACCACGCGCAAACATGCGCTTCGCTCCACCCGGTGTTCCGCTGAACCTGACTACATAAACATTTGAACGATCGCACAGCCCTCCCACAAGCATGCCACAGGTCCTGTCGTCCATCTCACCTAGCGCCCACCTGCTGGCAGGCCTGAGCTTCACGCACAAGTTCGCCATGGAGAACCACGTGGCCACGCACGCGTCGCACCGGCACGAATGCGCCACGTGCGGCAAGAAGTTCGCCCAGCGCCGCTCGGCCGAGCAGCACGTGCGGCTAATGCACTCAGGGGTGGCCTTTGCCGCGTCGTGATCAGGGCGGTACTGATCTCAGCGTCCTGATCTGGGCGGTGCTGATCTGAGCGGGGCTGATCTCAGCCGGCGGTCTCAGACGTGCTGATCTGGGCGGTGCTGATCTGAGCGGCGCTGATCTTAGCCGGCGGTCTCAGACACGGACCTCAGCCGGTGTCGCAGCCCGGGTCGCCGGAGGAGCCTCAACTGGTGCTGCCGGGCGGCTGGCAGCGGCGGGAGAGCTGGGCTGAGGCCCGCAGCTGAAGCGCTGCCGCTGTGGCGCCCGCTGTGGCGCCCGCAGCGCCGGCCGCCGGGCGGACCGGCGGCCGGCGCTGGTTACGGCGGCTGTGAGCGTGGCGCTGAGCTCGGCTGGCCGGCCGTGCCCACGCGCGGTGCGGCGGGAGGCGGCACATGGGGTTGAGTGTTCGGAGAGCGTGGGCGGTGGGAGACGGAGAGCGTGGGCGGTGGGAGACGGAGAGTGTCGGCGGGGGGAGGCCCACCGCTGCGTCACCGATGAACCCCACCGCTGCGTCAGCCGGCCGTCCCGGGACTGTGTTGGGCTCGGTTGTGTGTGGGCTGGACGCATGACACCTCTGTGATTGTTAACCATCGAAGTGACGACGCTGGCTCTCCGTCTGGAACTGGAAATGCGAAACGTCCAGCGCTTCCCTGTAGGCGAGCTTGCCGAACCGAGCCAGGCGCTATGTAGCAGAACGAATTCCGTGATGCGCTAACGTGCAGTTTCTACGCGTGTTTGCGCTTGGGGTGGTTTGGTGTTGTAGTCCCGGGGTTGTTTAGGACTAGATGCAGTGCGGTCTTGGTGGTAGTCGGGTCAGACAAGTCTGGGCGGGTGGTCCGGACAGCCTGCGGCGCTTGTGATCTGCCCGGAGAGTTTAGGTAATGCGCAGGCAAACAGTCACCTGTTTGTCCGAAAGGCGACTGGCGGACCGAACCCACGATCCCTTTTTTTAGTTCCCACGCTCCCTCGTTCCCACGTTTTCCCGGCTTGCACGATCCCACGAAGCCACGTAGTGACCTGATCTCATCCGAACGGCTCCCGTCACACCTCCAGGTCATCTGTCCGGATTGTTCGATCTGAATGGAAAAAGGAGGAGCCACTCTGTCGTAGGGGGAGGCAACTGTGCTTGACCTCGGATTATCAGCGCCGTGTTATTCCCGGGGCTCCCTCAACTGAGAGTCCTCCGCTACTCGGAGTCTGTATTGCGGTGTTCAGCTCTAACCGCCGCCGACTCGTGCCCGCTCTACTGTCAGTTAACGGTCCGCTCAGAACCTGCGACGCCACGCGCCCGCAACATAGGCCGCTGCGGAGGATCGTGCTCGCAGAGGCGTTCAGAGAAGGACGCGTGGATAGGGACGTTCGCGGCGGGTGGACTGGCCTGCGTTGTCCGCCGTGTTGATTGGCGAATGCAGCTTCTCTCAGGGACTTGTAGATGTAGCCTGTGGCCTTCAGCGCGTTGGGGTCCGCCGGCCGTGACCCGCTCTGACGCCGTGAGGTGCGTAGCTCCAGCGCCCTCAGACGGCCCTTTCAGGTACCAGGAACTTGAGCGGGTGCGCGGCCGCTTCAACGGTCCCCCTGCCGCGCGTCACGCACGCGCAGGTCCGGCGGCCCGGACCCCTTTCTTGGAAATACCTCCGCGCCGAGGCTCCGTGGCTGCCGTGGAAGCGACGTTAAAACTCCCTCCCCTGCCGGCCTTTCGACCCACGCCTCCGGCTCCGATTCTGCTCTGCAACGGCTGCTGCGCCAGCTGTCACCGGCGACGATCGCCCCAGAGGTGCCCACTCTTCCTCTGTCCTGACCTGTGCTGTGATGTGGGGGCGGCTGTGGTAGGAGCTAGGCTGCTGCTTGCAAGCAGGTCAGTCGTCAGCATCAGCCCGGTTAGCAGTTGACTCTCCCAGCAGCTGCGAAGAAAAACACGAGACGGGATCCTGACTGAGACGCCTGCGGCTGGAACCCGGCTCGTAGGGAAGCCACCGCCGCTGTTTGGAATGCGGATCGCTGGCCCAGAGCGTGTGCAAGATCGCCACGCCGTGTGGTCTGACGGGATCACCGAAAACGCCATCCCTAGGCTCTGTTTTGTGTGTGTTTGTGATGCGCTGGCAGTTGGATGGTATTGCATTGTTTTTTTATAATATGGAAATGTAATTGCTGCATGCAGAGAGAGGTCGTTTCTATATTAAACGGTGCACCCTTGGAATGGTGAGACGTCACATGACATTGAACAGAGCATTCAGATATGGCGCCACATGACGTTCGGGCATTTTTGGAAGAAGAGTGCTGGCTACGTCTCTCCCACACGCACCGTAGAGCCACGAATGCAGTGTTCCTTTTTTACTCGCGCGTAGCTGGAGAGATAGTTGCGTTTGTGGGGACCGGAATGGTGTTGGTAAAGTCCTTTTCGGATTAAGGAATTGCTTTTTATCATGTCATTGCGCGTGCGTCTCGTCCGCACTCTCGTGGTATGCTCCGGTCCATGAGCTTATTCATTAGTTGGGTCTCGCGGTACACAAAGCGTCGAACTCCGTGGATCCGTGAATCGAGGAGGAACGATTCCCAAGATGTCCCCAGAGTTCAGGGGCATGACGATGCGTAAAGTGGCACCTAGTTAAATAGGGGTAGATTTGTTGAGAGGCCAAGCGATTGCCGGCATCGCCAAACGAACAACAAGGGAAGTGTGTAGCTCGCCTGTAAAACGTGGCCGCGGGGGCGGCGGTAGTCAATACGAAAACGAAGACATCACATTGGTTGTGGACGTGATCATGCACCGTGTGTCTGGGAGAAATCGCAAGAATCTAGCAAGTCCGTGGCTTGCCGTTTATCAGTATGTGCTGCTCAGGTCACGCATATTCACGGCGGACATTAGGCCACGCGTATTAGGCCACGCATAATATGACGCATATTAGGCCACGCATATTCAATATGTGCTGCTTAGACCACGCATATTTGTTGTCTCTGCATATCCGACGCGTGCGTTCTGCGTTCATTCGTCAGCGATTGTCGAAATGGGCTCTCTGTAAGCTGTCGGCAAATAAGTTGACAAACCATAGCAAATGGCATCGGTTCTGACACGCTTAGTCTAGTGAAAAGGTGCCAAAATAACAACTAACTGAATATCGCATGCCGACACCCAATGCGTGATGACTACGCTAAAAGGGCTCGCAACAGGCGGTTGAGTCGAAAGATGACCCTTGACCCGCACTGAGTTCGCGATTAGGCATACACCACTGCGAGCACCAGTGCAATCCTTCAAGCTCACGCATCCTAGCATCGGATTTACCGCGCTGAGCTGACGGTTGTCGGGAGCACACAAACAAGCCCAAATTTCGATGATCCGTACCGAATATGAGGGTGGAAAGTGACTTGTTGAGTGATGTCAGTGTTCGAAGCAGCGGAGATGTGCTGCGACCGATGCGCGTGTCTGTCAAGCGCATTAAAAGGAGCATACCACCTTTCTTGTGATTTTCAGTTATTGATAGATCATCCTTTCACTTAACGATAGATCTTCTACTTTTCACCTATTGATAGACACAAAGTCCTTCTGAATAGCCCAGGGTTCCTATGTGGAGAAGCCGATCCTGCGGGAGAAATTTCATGGGACTTCCTGCTCACCACTGTGAAAGTAGTTCATTTCATTTGTACTGCTTTTTTCAACGTCTGTGTCCTGTAATGCTTGTAACACACCAGTTTGTCAAAACGATTGTGTAATAAATGCTGCGAAAGCTTGAGGTATTCTGTTAAGACACAAACATACGCGAGCATAAAGCTATTAACTATGGCTTTGATTTCTCCAATTCGGTGTTTACCACTGTGGCCCTTTTCGGTGCGTACTTCGGCTTTGGAAATGGAAGCATCACATGGCCCATGGTGCATTTATAATTGGTTGTTGATTGGCAACCAACATCCATGGTTTGGTTGCAAACCAAACCCTTGTCTCTAGCTTCTACACCATCTGAAGTTGGTGTCTGTTACACTATGCCATTTTGCTGCGGGTGTCAACTATACGTGCAACCGAATAATACTTCCAGGTGAAAATGCTAGCTTCTCCAGCGCCAACCGAATAAGGAGCTTGACATAGGGTCAAACAGGGCCGCTGATTCGCGACATCTACGGACCGGGCAGCAGCTCAATGGCGTGGTGACATTGACCTGATGGCACAGGCTGTCATCAGTAACAGGAGAGTTGACAGCGACGGTTTGCTTGCCTCGCCATTGTTTCTATTGTTGCAACCATGTGGCGAAGGAGGTGGCAACTGGGAGAAGTTTGGTCAGAAGCATGTCCATTGTCCGTCACCTTTATGTATGGTTCTGTGTTACGCAGGACCGTAGGTAGTACCGACATCATGCGATTGAAATCCTGCTGGGAGACCAAGGTAATCTGTCTGAGGGGTTACCACACACAGGCACGATGGGACGAATTGGAGCGCTTGGATTTTGGTTTTGAGGTAGCCGAATATCTCTGCCATGGGATAGAATGCAAAAAAGAAAAATTAAAGTGAGTTCTCTGGTAGCTTCGCATTTAGGGCTTCGTTGATGACAGCATATGCTTCAACTTCCAGATGTTTAGGGGGATTACAATACTAGAGAATGTTGCGTCAGTTGCTAGTGACTTTGGGGCAATTTTCAATGTAATCCACCTTCTTCAAGAACGGAAAAAAGTGCAGGTGTGTGTGATTGTAACCATCAACTTTCATTGCTTTGCTTTGCAGGCACTGGGGTGACTCTTCCTAGTCACCGTTACCATGTTTTGTTTGATGATGACACTTTTGCCGTAGACAGCTTTCTGAATTTTAATTTGAGTTCCTTCCATTAGCCTCTACCCATGGTCAGGCTGCCTTTGATGTCAATTAAGCTGGAGCGTCAGCGGGCGAGCGACGAATGATTGCATCATGTCACCCTGAGAGGGCTGCTGTGACGTTCGCTGAAGACAGCTGTTGCCGAGGTGTCTCTTTGCAGTCCTTTATCTGCTCGGTGTCTTTGTTTCACTGCACCCTCAGTTCAGCGCGAGGACTCGCAATGCCAAAAACCATGAGCCTGAGGTCCTTCTTGTTGGCAGCAAATCCCACTGATGTCGTTGCATCCCACGGAATCTTGACATGGCCCACAAAGTACACATGTGAAATTCGTTATATATTTGTCGTTGACACCACCAAGAACATCCGCAAATGCACCGTATAAAAACCACAGTAAACACCCTGCAAACTACTTGACCGTTTCGGTACCTCTTCTCAACACGTCACTTTATCACGGAACAGTTGCGATGCTTGGGCGGTCGCAGAAAGTGTTGTCTCCCCCCAGAGAACTGCCGCCACGCCGCCCAGCACGAGATCAAGAACATCACAAAATAAATACACCACTTGCAAGGTCTCCCACCAACATGTCACCACCATTAAAGAAATACCTCTGCACAATAAATAGCGTTGAATAACTTACTAAGCACATCACCCATACCCTCTTTATCATTTCGATCGCGTAGATTCATCAGATTTGAGCGTCACGCCAGTAGTGGCATCTAGTGGGTGATTTCGTAAGCTCCGAGCGAGCAGGCGCAGGCGGCCGGCAGCTTGAAGGTCTCGACGACGAAGGGGAAGTACTGGTCACAGGGGTCGTACACCAGGAACCTGTCGGCGCAGGGGTTATGGTTTTATTCAGTGAGCGTCACTTCCAGGCCGCTGATCCACACGAACTTTACAATATGAGATGCAGAATGCAGAAATAAATGCAAAAACTAGCACAAATTATCGTTCAGTGAACCGCATTCGCGCTCTTGGATGGAAGCAATGTTAGCATTGGTTGATGATGCATTGGCCACGTATCACCATGTATTATCACCATGTATTGTCACCATGTATATATTATCACCATGTATTGGCTCTCGACCTCACCCTACCATTGGCGTGACCTGACCTTACCAGTGAAGTGACCTGACCTAATCAACGAAGTGACCTGACCTGTGGTAGACGGACTTCTGCAGGCAGCTGGACTCGTAGCAGTGAGGCACCAGGGGGCAGGGCTCGCCGGCGGACAGGCACTTCTCAATGCGGGTGGTCTGGGTGAAGGTTTCGTAGTCGACCTGTAAGAACATCTGGTGGTGAACCCCGCGGCACAGCTCCGCGCGCCATGTCCAGATGACGTCGGCTGAGCGCACGCGATCGATGCTTCTAGATGGTGCAATGATTCTAGAAAGTGATAATTCTAGATGGTTCTAGATGATGCAATGGCTTCAGAAAATGATCATTCTAGACGGTCCTGGTTGATTAAGCAGCCTGCATTCGAGCAAGGCCACCATGGGCAGAGAACACAGCCGCATCATATCAGGTGTCACCGTCACCATTGGCACCTTTCATGTTTGGCACCCCAGTCAGACAACAACCCCCGCACAGTCTTGAAAAGCGCGTCTCTCCCGCGGCGCGTGTGGCCGCGGGTCGGGGCCGGGCCGCCGCGCTCGCCGTACCTTGATGTTGTTGACGATGACTCTCCACTTGCCGTCGGTGTTGACGGCGCGCAGCGGGCGGACGTAGCCCACCTCGGACGAGCAGAGGTAGGTCTCCTCCTCGATCTTGGTCAGTCTGCGGCCGCGGACAGTGACGTCACACAGGGAACGTGACGTCACCCGGGTAGCGAGACGTCACAAGGAGGCGGGTGCGTTTTACGTTGGTGTGCGAGGTCCGTCCCCGCAGAGGCAGAACCGCTACATAGGACCAGTGAGTCATTTCAAAGCATTCAAGGAGAGGAAAGATACTTCCAAGACAACTTATTCAAGGCAAGGTATTTCCAAGGCAGGGTATTCAATGCAAGGCATTTGCAATGTGCGCAATGTTCAGAATCACGCAGGCCTGGTCAATGTACGAAAAACGTGCACACGCTCTCACGTGCAGTATCCCTGAAGAGTTCTCACCTGTCGACGGAGTTCTCGGTGTTGAGGTCAGCCACATCGGCGTACAGCTCCAGCACCTTGTGCTTGTGGTAGGTGATGGCGTGCTTGATCTCGTACCTGCGGCAGAGGCAGACCGGCCGTCACCGCCGGAGGGCGCTGGAACGGCCGCGGGCGGCGCGCGCTTGGGCTGACACCGGACAAAGTTAGTGTGGTGTGGGCGTGACGTCATCCGTCCATGATGACAAGATGACCACCACGGCGGATAGCGCGAAAGCGAGCCAGGGGATGAGCCGAGCCAGACTAAGGGGAAAGTGTGAGAAGATGTGTCGGAATTATATGAACGCTGAAAATCGGTTTGTTCCCAGTTCGTTTCACGCTTAAATTCGGTTTCTTGCCACGCATTTTAAGATCATGAACAGCTAGAAGTCGGGTGAAATCAGTTTTGGACAAAATATTAGGTGAATGTTTTGGGCTAAGACGTTGATTCGAGTCTCAACTTCAACCACGAACAGGAGCGAAGCTCAGAATATTCTCGCATGACTTGAGCGGGAAGTTACCGCATAAACCTTCTCAGTGGCTTTTCACTTTTGGCCTGCACAAAGGTCACTGAACCGCTTGCCCTGATGTTTTGTCTGGATAATCCACCAGATACCAAACTTATTACAGTTTTCCACATCACAAAACAGCCCCCTTCCGCCGATTTCCGCGGGACGGTGGGGAGGAGCGGCGCGGAGCGCGCGATAAAGTCGTCCGGGCGATGCGCCGCTTTCGCCTCGCCTCTCGCCTCCCGCGGCTCGCGAGTCACCGTCCCCGCTCCGACCCAGCCGCCCGTCGTCGAACCACAGACCCGTGACCGTTGCCGCTGGACCGCGACCGCCGTCGGCGCCCAAGCGACCGTCACCGGCGTCATCGGCGTCATCCGGTCACGGCAGGCCGGCGCTGACCTTCGACGCGCCACGTTCGCCGCGGCGAGACGAGCGACGGCGCGTCGCGTCGATCGCGCCACGCGCCGGAGGACGCTTTCGTCAGCGCGCGGCAGATGGCGCCGATTTGGCGGGAATGCGGCGCGCCGGCGGGAGATGGGCGCGCGGAGAATGGACCATGATTGCGCGGTCCTGCGGCACCCGAGTTTGGCGCATTTTCTGCACAGATGGTACGGTCGCCAGGGACATGTGATTACCTGGCGGGTGTGAAAAGGTTTCACGCTCGGGATTAACAGTCAAAGCTTTTGATCATGAAGCTCTGCTTTCATTTGGTTTGATCCGACGCTCAGTTTGATCAAAACTGCATGTAAGGACGCGTAGCTGAACCATGAAGGAACCGTAAAATGTACCAGCGATGAAAAGAACAGACACAAATTTCATTTAGACTCATGCTCTGTCTAACTTGGCTTCGATTCTTTGATCAGCAAGTCGCGGAAATGTGAAGCTTCCACTACACCAGATCTGTTTCGCCAGGGCCATATCTTACACACACGCCTGTCGGAGACGGGACCACCCGTCGGGATGCCCCAGCGCCCAACACAGCGCCATCCTCCACCTCATCATCTCTCGGGCCCCGCGGCGGGCGGCCGGGCGACACGCTGCCGTACCCCACACATGACCGACCCCTAATGTACGGCCACTGGCCGCTCCCGCCTATGAGCCACGAAGGCCACCCCGACATGGCTGCAGCCGACGACCCCAAACGTGTGATCAGCCGCCACCGGCCGGCGGCGTTGCCACACGGCTGATGGGAGCCCGGGCGAGGATGCTGGCCGTGTTGTAACCGACGCGCTCGTGTGTCCTCGCGTTTGGAAATGGGATCGAAAAACCGACCGCGCGTGCCGAGACAAAAAACGCGCCGACAGCCGCAGGAGGTCGCCACGTCCAGATTGACGCGTGTCGCCGGCTTTGTGGTTGGAACGCGCACGTTTTTCCAGGATTGAACAACAATGTGAGTTCAAACGAGGTAATTACAAAGCTATTTACCTTGGACCCTACGATACGGATGACAGATATGCTTGTGAGTATGCTTTCGGTTCAGTTCAACAGAATGCTCATTTCAGACGGTTTCTTGCCCATGACTTTTCGAACACGGGAGTAGTTTGGTTCGCAATAATGCTGCCAGCCTGGTCCTGGCCCCTGGTCCCTCTCATGATCTTGGCGCGTACCATGCCCTACTGCCAGAGCCTACGGCGTCTAAGGTCCACCGAACGAGACCTTGACCTGACGTGGAAATAACCGATTAGTCTGGCAAGGACTTGACAGGGAGCCGATTTGGGGCAGATGCCGAGAACAATGGAGGATAGCTCCCAAATTCGACAACAAATCCGACGATAACGGCACAACAATGATGCTTGGGGGGGGGGGCCTCAGGCCTCGTGAGCCTTTTTTCATAACGCCCATCCATGTGTGCAGATGCAACATTTTGCGATGGAACAAAGTCCGCAAAAATGGCGCTTAAATGAAAAGCAAAACAGGCGGCTTTGACGATGTTGTACACCACGTTATTTAAACGCGTCGTGTGAAGCCGATACTCATAATTTGACAGGTGGTGCACGCTTTGTTCGGTGAGTTAAGATTTTGTAGCGTTTAAATGACATCTGTTTCAAGGTACTGATCTCACTGGCTTAAAGGAGAGATTTGTTTGTATCTATAATCGAATGCATGCGCCGCCGCGTAAGGTACTCAGTCGGGGTACTCCGCACCACCCCGGCGCATACTCACTCGGAGTACTCTGTACCACCCCGGCGAGGAGCTCGCTCGGGCTCTCCGTGCCGCCGCGTGAGTTACTCACTCTGGGTACTCGGAGTCCTCGAGGCACCAGGGGTCGGTGGCGTTAGCACTGCAGGCGGGCTCGCTAGGATAGTGCGGGCAGGCCGGGTAGGCGGCCTCGTGGTGGCCGTAGGCGGGCTGCTGGTATCCGTGGTGGCCGTAGGCGGGCTCCGGCTGGTACGACGGCTGGTAGGACGGCTGGTACTGGTACTGCAATGGGCGCCGGCGGGTGAGGCCCTGGTTGCCACTGACACTGGGACTGGGTGTGTCGCAGAGAAGCCGTGAATGTCGCATAGCTGCCCGAAGTGCGTATAGGCGAGCGAAAGCACGTCAAAGCCATTACTCATCACTGCAAGAAAAACGCGTTAACCTCAGAACAGTGAAATGCCAAGTGGGGTGCGAATCCAAACTTAGTCTGGGCTGCACAAACAAGACATGTCTCTAATCAGTGCGGAAAATCAATATCAGAAGAACCAGTTCAGAATGCACGCCCTCAAAGCACTGTGTCTTGTTATGACTTCACATTTACCCGCTCGTCCAGGATTGTTGTGCACGTAAAAGCTGGTGCTCGGCTTGGCTCTTTGTCGTGTTCATAAACCAAGTTTAATGATGGAAATATCTGAGGTTCGCATCTTGGCCGTGGTATATTTCGCTGGTCGCCTTACCTGGTAGCTCTCGTAGGCCGGCGCCGGGCTGTAGGCGGGCGCGTGGGTGGGGCCGTAGGCCGGGGGCGCGTACGTGCTGGAGTGGTAGCTGGGCGGCGGGGCCGAGGCCGAAGCCAGAGCCGCCACTGTCGCGGCCAACTGCGGAGCCGCAGACAAGTGACGTCACGGTGATGAGGGGATGGTGGTAGACGTCACGATGATGAGGGGATGGTGGTAGACGTCACGATGATGAAGGGATGGGGGACTTAATAGTGGTGAGGGGATCACGGGGAACTTCATAGTAGTGAAGGGACCACGGTAGACTTCATGGAAGTGAACGGATCACGGGGGACTTCATAGTAGTGAAGGGACCACGGTAGACTTCATGGAAGTGAACGGATCACGGGGGACTTCATAGTGGCGAAGGGATCACGGGGATATCAGGGTGAGAAGGGATGGCAGAGGATGTCAGGGCGGTGATTGAATGGTGGGGAACATCAGGGTGGCGAAGGCACGACTACGGACATTAGGGATTAGATGGCATGTAACGGTGCACTGGGATCGCAGCGATGTCGTGAATAATAGTCGAACATCCAATTTACATGACTGACAAGACCAAAGAAGATTTTAGGATCAGTATATCTGTATCCTTTTGTAAGGGTCTGTCATTCCAAAGTTGATTTTGCCTCACCAAGGTTGGTGTCGGCCCCGATATTTTTGGTTGGAGGGTTACAAAAATTTGGGGAAAGCTTAACAGCACACATAACCGCCTGAATTATGCATTACTTGGTGTTAATGACTCCTGTGCCGCTCAAATACATGACGGTCACAAATAATAAAAAACTACAAATGACGTAATCGTTTTCCGAACCTAAGTGGCCTTATTGGGGATCAGGTTAGGTTTTCAGATCCTAACGTCCTTCACACCATCGTTTACTAAAACTGCCACCCTCCCGTTTTGCTCAGTTGCAGCGAGACTTCAACTCACAAAATACATTACATACAAAATGTGCGCGACAACGAAATTAAAACGCTAGAAGCCATAGGCATACTGCATGCCCAGGTGCAACACACGGGCGCATCAAGCTTGAATCAAGCTAGAACTATCCAAATTATTGTCATTCATCGCAAATATCAAATTGGTTCGCAGAAAAAAACGGCAAAAAAAGACACTGAAACCGAGGGGAACGTGATTGTTTCGCCAGTGTGGTCCTAAGTGACAGACGGCAAATGTTAAGCAAGTAATGCTAAGGAAATAAAATAATTAACAAGTCTCTATTTCAGCATCAATTACACCCGAAAGCACTCGATATAACACCACCGCAGTAGCATCCTCGCTGTCTCAGAAACCACGGCAACTGTGGGCGGCGTCGCCTCTGAACCCAGGGCAACAGCGGGCTGCGTCGTCTCGGAACCCAGGGCAACAGTGGCCTGCGTCGCCTCTGGACCCAGGGCAACAGCGGCCTACGTCTCCTCTGAACCCAGGGCAACAGCGGGCTGCGTCGCCTCCAAACCCAGGGCAACAGCGGCCTGCATCCTCACATGCAGAACGTCGGCTGGCCAGGATAGTGAGCGCACCCAATGAAATCATTGACTCTAACGTCCGGAGCGCGGCGCGGCGCGAGCCACGCAGCCGCGCCCCAGAGGCAGCGCCGCTCAGCGGCGGGTACTCACAACAAAGCGGAACACCATGGCTTCTGGTGTGTGAGAGGAGGAGACGGGCTGTGGCGTGGAGCTGCGAGTCTGCTTCTCCACCGCCCGCCCGGCCGTCTATATACCCCCGGCCGGCGGCCTTGACCTTGGTGCCGACGCGGGGGCACACCCCCACGCCCGACGGACGGCAGCGACCCGGGAGGGGGGGGGGGGGGGGGGAGAACGACAGCGAGGCGGTAAGGGTGCCCGCTTACAGTGAAAAATGACCAAAAATATGATCCCCTGTAATCATCGTTGGGATTGCTGGTGTTAATACGAGCGTGTTTAAGGAATGGTAAGTCCGTTTGGTTGAATGTCCTGAACATCAACCCGCTTGCGGGCATCGTGGCTGGTGCCCATAGCCTTTTGACTTGCAGCGAAGAAACTATAGAACTTTCATTAAGTCAACAGTAAAGTCCCGGGTATGCCAGTCAGGAGGAACTACAAGGTTCCTAAATGGCCCTATCAGGACGGCTTCAAAACCTCCCTTCACCGATCTTCGCAAGCCACACACGCTAATGCAACGTTACCCTGCCTCGGCTGCCGCGCCGGACATGCTGGGACGCGCCTGCAACAGGGGACGGGCGTTCCCACTGCGGTCATGGGAGGCACCGCTGCTATCCAGGTGACTATCTCACAAACAAAACCGATATCAGACGCGTTTGCGCGATCTGACGCGTTTGCGCGATCTGATGCGTTTGCGCCATGTGATGTGTTTGCGTGCGTTTCGCGATCTGATGTGCTTGCGCGATCTGATGTGTTTGCGCGATCTGGTAGGTTTGCGCGATCTGGTAGGACTGCGCGGGACTAGGCAAATTGGACGAGGGCATCGATGAACTCTGGTTCATCAGCAACTTACGTGTTCCGCGACGATAAGAGGGGATTACGGACAGCATATCATGGATGACCGATCCCGCCTACGTAGACTACAGGTACGGCACATCTCATAGGCAACTGATTCTGAATTGCACGGAAAATCGGTTAAACACGTGGTCAAACTCATTCTTTTTCGTCAGGCATATGAAAAACGACCAAACTTCACTCTGTAATGACCATTTAGCCGAAATACTTCCGCAGTAAAAACCATGAAAGCTCAAAACACTCTATTTGGGAACAAAGGTGTATAGATAAGGGACCATTATCACACGAATTCAACAAAATATCATGATATTACACTGGTTTCTTCCCTGCCGTGTTAAGCAGAGCTACTCTTTTCAAAGCGCACCTTGGCTTTGGAAAACATTATTTACTTCGATGGTAAGTTCGTTGTAAGACCCTGTTTACAAAACTGGCATATCGCCGCGGCATACTGTATGGTTTAGTGACGCACTGTTCAAGCTTCCATCAATGCATCTCTCTCTAAATACTTACACCGCCTGCTGCGCCCGTGCCCAATGACAAACGTTCATTTCTGCTGACGTCATTCATACTACAGGCGGCACCTTTGAGCCCACAGGCTCGCAGAACGCGGTATAAAAAGTTAAATTGGGTATATACTCCCCGTCCGAAACCAGATGACGATGACGCGCAGCAGGCTTAACCGTCGTCAGCTGCTAAGGGCAAGAAGTAAAGCCTTTGAGCGCCCTTTTTTATCGCGCTTGACGGACCTGTGAGCTTGTGTCATGTCATGTGTTCATGCCAACTTTGAACGGGTTCGACACGACATATTCGCGGCAGATCAGATATCCACAGATATCCACATATCCGCGACATAACCGCGGAGGCTATGATGCATACGTACGAATACGCAAAAACCATGATGAATACGTACGACTACACGGAGACTATAATAAACACGTACGAATACACGGAAACTTTGGTGAATACGTACGAGTGCACGGAGATTATGACGAACACCTATGCATACCCGGAGGATATGATAAATACGCACGAATACGCGGAAGCTTCGATGAATATGTACAAATACACGGAGGCTATGATGAGTACGCACGAATACGCGTGAAGACTATGATGAATACGTGTGCATACGCGAAGGTTATGATAAATACGTACGAATACGCGGAGACTATGATGAATGCTTACGTATACGCGGAGACTGTTGAATACGTACGAACATGTGGCCACTATAATAAACACATACAAATATGCGGGGCTATGAGACTGAACTGAACATGAAAAATGTGAGATAGAACGATTGCTCCCTGGAGCATCGTTATTTTCTTATCTATTTTTACTACCAGTGGGGCTGCTCTTCTCTCATCGACCGATTTCCTCCCGACAAAATGCGGTGCGGTCGTCTTGCCACGAAACTTGAGCTGCACCAGCGCTTATGCGCGGCGGTGGGCGAATACTAAGCTGAAAACAATAATTATGTATGTTTATGGAAACAGTAAGATGAGACAACTGAAACGATTTGGAACACGAACGAGCAGGCCCGGATCTTCCACAGAAATGCATTTCAGAACGTTGCTGTAATAGCCAGGTTCTGCCAAACGGTTGTTAGTTTTTTTTGCTCCGCGACATTGCACATGTGTATCGACCACACGATTTTCTTCGTCAATTGTCCGGCACAGATGCCGGTGACGCGGATCCAGTCTGAGGTGAGTCAATCACCATGTCTGATAAGTTTTCTTTGTGCAGAGTACTCGTCCCACTCTGCAGCAACGCTCCAGCAGCAGAAGTCCCCGGGATGGAGAGTTTGCTGGCGGAGTGGGGCTGCGCGTCACAGGAGCCACAGCGACAAATGATCAGCGGATGAGCGGAAAGAAGAGTTAAGCTGGTTACTAGGGGGAGGAGAGAGCACTCGTCATCGAACACAAGATCCAGGGGTATGTTCAACATTTGGAGATTTTGCAGCAAGCGCCAGATATGATGAAGTAAGTCCACTTATTGCTATTGATACAGCTGCTCTAGTCAAAACGTTATCTATTCAGTAAATGTGCTCCTCAATGCGTCATTATTTGAATGCGTCGTGGAATGTACGTTTGATAGCACTCACTTGAAGTTTTTCACTCTCCCGAGAGATGACAGCATGGACTTAAAGTGTTCCCTGAGCCAAATATCTTTATGCACTCGTATTTCGGCTTTTCTCGTGGTACCCTCCCACATTTATTCATGAGTTTAGGATGCTGACTTATATTCACATACTCGATTAAAGCGGGTATAACGCCATTCGTAAGGTAATTCGATTGCAAGCTTGTTTTCGTTTTAACTAGGAAAAGTGCATAGCTTCCTGCATTATATAGCACATAATGCTCGCGCTCAAGAACGCCAGATATGAACGACACGGCAGTTACCTTTTCGTGACTTAAAAACGCAGCATGGGGGCGTTTTCTATATGGCCAGCTGAAATGACTGGGTTTTAAATGGCGTTCTTATGGCTCGTGAATGCCTGGATAGCCTTGAAATAGTCTGCACGAAAAAGTCTGCACATTTTGGCTGGTGTGTACCTCAGATACCAGCGAGGTTTAAGCCGTAAGAATGGCAGGGCTGTAAACTGCACCGAAATACCTCCAGTTATACTCCACATGCAGCAAGAAGTCAGGAAAGTCCCGTCCCATCACTGCTCACCATTTGTGGGATGCGGTTGTAATACCACATCTACGATTAAGAATGTGGCCTCATTCTCTCGACGACTCCGACTTTCTCCTCCACATCTTCCACGAAAGTCGTGGTTGAGAAGCACGAGCCCAATGGTGGCTGCATGGGGATTCTGTCCATGTAAGTGAGCGGCTTACGCTCACTCTGTTGGAGCAGTGCCATGGTAAGCCACGCAGCCTGAGCATGGTTTACGTGGCCTGCTCCGCGACCCCTCGACCCCGGCGGTCGTTAGCATATAAATGCGTGGTACGCAACATGCAACGAATCGTTTCATGATCCCTTCCACTGACACATTGATGGAGAAGCTGCTGACTTCCAATTGTGCTAGATGCCCACGGGGAGCCAAGGATTTTGCCAAGCTGATTGATTCGGTACGTGTTTTCAGCGTTTACGTAACTTACGGTCTGCTCGGTCTGCACTAGCTTGCACGTCTCGCTGCGGCATTTGAGACGCAGTAAAAAGGCGTCCTTCCTCTTAAAGTTTGCCACACGAGTACCCACGAGAACGACATGGGTATCCCCGGATATGGTGAAGTTCGTCATAGGCGTGGCCTGGCTGGACGCATCCAATTGTCTCTGAAACGGTTAATATTTGTACAGAGAAGGACATTGCCATACATTAGTTGAACTTCAACTGTTATTTCGGCACCATACCTTTATGAAAACGCATAGCAGAAGTCTATTCTGCTTTTCGTTTTGGAAAAGGCGTGTTGCCGAAATATCGACGCATCTATATCTCCGTTGTCTTTGTTTTTCCTCCGAAGGAATTAATGCTATTACTACTGGTCTTAACCTATGTGCATGATGTTCTCGCAAATGCACTTAACGAATAAGATGTATGGCCTTCCTCCAAAAATAGGGTAACGTTTATGTCGTTCAGTAAGGTGCACCTTGAAGGCACTTTCGGGCGCGAAACCTTGATCTGAGAAGTCGAAACTTAGAGAAACTTTAGAAGCCAGCTTCTTATTCATCACATGTGCATTGATTTTCACACTCACAAAATACTTTCTTCCACAAAACATATGTTGCATCGATTTGCATATTCAATAAATCTACCAATTGCAAAATGAGATTCCTTTCAATTAGAAACATCTATTGCTGGCGTATCAAGTAGTCTCGCATCTCTATACAGCTAATTGCGTTTGGTCTTCGGCTTCTTTTCCTTTGATGGGTCAGAGTTTGGAAATGTGCCATTTCATCATGTGTGTTTTGGAGAGAAAAGCGATGCGGATGCACTGTATACACTGACTGGCTTCCGATTCCTGTTCATATTTCTACTTTGTGATGAAGGTCTGTGGCCGAAAATTAGTTGTAAACACATCTTTCGAAATGTATAAAAGATATATATTTTCGAAAAAGATATATACATCAGATATAAAACGATATATAAATTGATATAATATAATATATATATAATATATATATATATATATTATATATATATATTATCAGTCTAAAAAATCGTCTTTCGTCTAATATCGTCTAAC